AATATACTTTAATAAAATTAATTTCACCTATTTTTAAAATGTGTGTACTAAGAAAGTTCCATAAGTGGCTTCCATTCATATTTAATTTATTTATGTATTTCTTTGTTTTTTTTTTTTTTTTTGAGATGGGAGTCTCGCTCTGGTGCCCAGGCTGGAGTGCAGTGGGCCGATCTCAGCTCACTGCAAGCTCCGCCTCCTGGGTTCACGCCATTTTCCTGCCTCAGCCTCCCCCAGTAGCTGGGACTACAGGCGCTGCCACCTCGCCGGCTAGTTTTTTGTATTTTTTTTTTAGTAGGACGGGGTTTCCACTGTGTTAGCCAGGATGGTCTCGATCTCCTGATGCCGTGATCCGACCATCTCGGGCCTCCCAAAGTGCTGGGATTACAGCTTGAGGCCACCCGCGCCCGGCTTGTTTTTTTTTTTGAGACGGAGTCTCTGGCCCTGTCCACCCCCAAGGTGGGAGTGCAGTGGCACAATTCGGCTCACTGGCAACCTACGGACTCCACGGGTTCAAAGAGATTCCTCCTGCCTCCCAGCTCCGGAGTAGCTGGAACCATAGGACTTGCCACCACGCCTGGCTATTTTTTTTTTTTTTTTTTTGAGGCGACGAGTGCTCGCCCTGCCTAGGCTGGATGCAATGGGCATGATCTCAGCTCACTGCAACTCCGCCTCTTGGTGTTCAAAACAATTCTCCTTTGCCTCAGCCTCCCGGAGTAGCTGGGATTACAGGCCCGCCTAAACCACCATGCCAGCTATTTTTTGTATCATTTTAGTAGAGACGGGGGTTGTCTCCATGTTTGCCAGGCTGGTCTCGAGATCCTGACCTCATGAATCCTACTGCCGTTGGCCCACCCAGCACGGAGTGCTGGGATCATAGGAGTGAGCCACCGTGGCCGGCCAGCTAATTTTTTGTATTTTTAGTAGAGACAGGGTTTCACCGTGTTAGCCAGGATGGTTACTTACATATTTCTATTGGCCTGGTACAGATAGCACTTGGAAGAGCAGCAGGGGCATCCACAGGCTTGTGTGCCAGGCCCCTGGCCTGCAGGAAGGAGCTGAGGTGAGAAGAGCTGGGAACTATGGCTCTCCTTTTGCACCCTTTCCTGATTCCTCAAATGTTGGGATCAGGTCTGAGGCAGCCTCTTTACTCACCCTCTGCCAATGTAGCCACCAGGGAATGTGGTTCCAGAGTGGCCAGAATTTTCAACTTTGCAAAATAAATTAGAAATCTGGATTTTTACATGAAATCTCTTTATTTTATTTATTTGTATTTTTTTAGAGACAGGGTCTTGCTCTGTTGCCAGGCTGGAGTGCAGTGGTGCCATCATAGCTCACTGCAGCCTTGATCTTCTGGGCCCAAGTGATCCTCCTGCATCAGTCTCTGATTTTTAAATGTTGGCAACTAATTCAAATGTTTAGAAAAAATGGCCAGTGATGCGGTGGCTCACATTTGTAATCCCAATACTGTCTATTAGTTTTCCTCTTCAATTTCCCCTCCTTTGAATGGTTCCCTTTTACTCAGTGAAGGAAGCACATACATGTACAGGTCCCCAGGCTCAAGATGGAATCTCACAAAATCCAAACAGGATAGGAGCAGAGGACTGGCACGGTGACTCATGTCTGTAATCCCAGCAGTTTGGGAGGCTGAGGCAGGCGGATCACCTGAGGTCAGGAATTTGAGACTAGCCTGGCCAACATGGTGAAACCCCGTCTCTACAAAATTACAAAAAATTAGCTGGGTGTGGTGGAGCACACCTGTAATCCCAGCTACCCAGCTTGAACCCAGGAGGCTGCAGTGAGCTGACATCGTGCCACTGCACTCTAGCCTGGGTGACAGAGTGAGACTCTGTCTCAAAAACAAAAAACAAACAAACAAACAAACAAAATGGCCAGAGGCGAAGTGGCTTATGCCTATTTCTATAATCCGAGCACTTTGGGAGGCAGAGGCAGGCAGATTGCTTGAGCTCAGGCATTTGAGACCAGCCTGGGCAACATGGCTAGACCCCATCTCTACCAAAGAAAAAAAAATTGCTGGGGTGGGGTGCAGTGGCTCATGCCTGTAATCCTAGCACTTTGGGAGGCCGAGACGGACAGATCACTTGAGGTCAGGAGTTTGAGATCAGCCCGGCTGACATGGTGAAACCCTGTCTTTACCAAAAACACAAAAAATTAGCTGGGTGTGGTGGCACATGCCTGTAATCCCAGATACTGGGGAGGCTGAGGCAGGAGAATTGCTTAAAACTGGGAGGCAGAGGTTGCAGTGAGCCGAGATCACTCCACGGCACTCCAGCCTGGGTGACAGAGCGAGACTGAGACACGCGCGCGCACACACACATATGCACGCACACACACACGCACACGCATGCACGCCACACACGCACACAACACACACACGCATGCACGCACACGCGCACACACACGCACGGCACACACGCGGGCACACACACGCACACACGCACGCGTGCAGATAGACACGCGCGCGCGCGCACGGACGCAAGCGCACACGCACACACACGCACTCATGCGCACATAGATGCACGCATTCACACACGCACGCACGCGCACGCACGCAGCACACACGCACGCACGCACACGCGCGCACGCACACACAAACGCACGCGGGCGCACACGCGCACACACGGACGCGCACACAAGCACACGCAGGCAGACGCGGACACGCGCACACACGCACGCACACACGCGCGCGCACACACACACGCACACACACGCACACACGCACAGTCGGGGGTGGTGGTGCATGCCTGTGGTCCCAGCTACTTGGGATCACTTGACTGGGGGCGGGGGTTGGGGGTGTGTGCCAGAGGTTGCATTGAGCAGAGATCGCGCCTGTGCACTCCAATCTGGGTGGCAGAGCTAGACCTTGTCTTGAAACAGACAAACAAAAAGCCAAAAACCAAACAAACCCAAAACCCAAAACCCAAAGCAAAACAAAAAAACCTGTCCTGGACAAAATCACGCAAGCCACCGGAAACATAGCAGGGAGACCGAAGCCAAAGAGGCAAAGCTCGCCTTTATTCCCGCAGCATAAGAACCTGAGCCAGCACAGAGGGGATTGAGGCAGAGCTGATTAAAGGGGCAAAATCTCCAACACCAGCTTCTGCCCTCATTTCCAGACTTTGAGAATCCAGTATTGGCACTGGGGCCAGTGCTGTGCTGGGGACCCAAGGGACACAGAGAAGCGTGGGCAGCCCTAGATTCTCCTCTTTCCCAGCAGCCTGCCGTCAGTCTGCCTGAACTCCTGAAGAGTAGGCATCAAGACGGCTAGGGTTGACGGAAGCGGGATGGATTTGTGCAAACCGGAGAGACATCAGACATCCACAAGGAGGCAGCAGAGGAGCAGGGAAAGAAACTGCTCTCTCGGCTTCTGGAAGCAGAGTCTGCACATCCTCCCATCCCCTCACTACATCCTCCCTATCCCAGGAGGCTGACTTGGGAGGTTGTTGGGTTGCAGGCCACCACTAATCCACCGGGTGGCTTTGTGCAAATCAGAGGAAGCTCCCATCCTCATGGGGAATGTAGGCTAAGGCATGACTTGGTGAGCGGAGCTTGGGGTGAATTAGTCCACGTCCTCCTATGCCCTGTGCCCTTGGCAACCCTGGGGAAGGAGGACGTGGACTAACTCACCCCACTGCACTGTGCACTGGAGGTTTGGAGTGCTGGCGCGAGGTAGCAGGGGCTCCCCGAAGAGGGCGCCACATTGCCCTGCGCTAGCTCTGAGCAGGCTCCGGCCTTTCCAGCAGGTGGCGGGTTCCACCCTCCGTCCTGGAGACTGCTGAGGCCCTCGCAGGAGGTCCACGCCTGCACAGGGCTGGGGGCGGGAGGGCGTGGGCAGGACCCAGGAGGACAGGCCGGCTGGCAGCAGAGCGGCCCAGGAGAAGGCAGCGGCCCGTGAGCCAGCAGCTCCGAGGTTCAGCACGCTGTCATTTTGGAGGCTCAGAGAGGAGAGTTGGGCAGCATCGGGCAGAGTCAGGGTGAGAACTTCCGTGTCCTGACTCTCAGCCCAGTGCGCTTCCTCCACAGCACACCTTCCAGTTGATCCCAATCATGTCCCAGCCTGGCCCAAACCCTTCCTTGGAGACACCCAAGCCCCTGAGCTTGGCACTCCGGGCCCGCCTGACCCGCCTGAAGTTGACTCTGCCGTGGCCCTCCACTCCAGCAGCTGAACCTCCCAGAGGTTCCCTGAGGAAGTCGCACCCCCTCCCACCCTTAGCTCCTGTGTGTGAAGTCCCCCTGCCTGGAATGCACCTCCAATGACTGACCCATCCACTTGTGAGCCTTTCATCTTCCCAATTTAGTTAGGATTTCCTCCTTTGAAGCCCTCCCTGCCCCTCCGAGGCTGGGCTCCCCCTACCCTGTGCTACCCCACAGGGCTCTTCTCACCACACCACAGCCTCCTCAGCAGGATGAGCTTGGCTAGGGCCCAGTGTGCCTGGAATGCATCTGTATCCCCGTGCCTGGCACAGAGCAGATGGTTGTAAACATCTGCTGTTAAATGAAAGAAAGGCCTAACTACATTCCCTCCTCACGCTCTGCAGTGGCAGCCTTGCCATCATGGAGGGAAGGCAGGCAGGGGGCTGTGTATGTGTGCACTGGTGTGCGCGTGTGTGTACTCTCAGGTGCACATATGGAGGGCCTCAGGCACCAGAGACAAGGAATAATTTCTATGGGAGGTTGTATGCGCATAGGCGCAGACAGGTACAGACAGGCACAGACAGACATGTGCACACCAACCCAGAAAGATGTGGAGCTTCATACACATGGGGAGATTTATTTAAAACAACAACAATTTTCATGGAAGTGTAACATACATAGAGAGAAGTACTCAAGTCATAAGTCTCCAGTGTGATGAAGTTTCACAAATTGAACAGATCATGCTACCAGCACTCATATCAGGAAGCAGAGCAGAGTTAGCCCCCAGGAGCCCTAGTGAGAACTGCATTTTTTTTTTTTTTTTCCAGACAGGATCTCGTTCTGTTGTCCAGGCTGGAGTGCAGTGGTGTGATCAAGGCTCACTGCAGCTGCAGCTTCGACTTCTCAAGCTCGAGGGATCCTCCTACTTCAGCCTCCTGAGTAGCTGGGACCACAGATGTATGACACCACGCCTGGCTAAGTTTTATTTACTTTATTTTTTGTACAGACAAGTTCTGATCACGTCGCCCAGGCTAGTGGGAGTGTTTTGAACACCTGCTACCTGACTCCTAAGCTGAAAGGCGGAGGGGGAAGGGCACAGTGAGGAGAGTCTGGCACCCTTCAATGGCCTGGCCTGCCCTGAGTTGCTCTAGCGGTGTTACTGCTTTTTGACCCCAGGCCCTATCTCTGATGCCTTTCCTGCCACTGTCATTGCCCCTACTACTCCAGCACCTGGGTCTGCCGGACCCTTGAACAGCTCCCTCCTGGGTCTCCTGGGCCCTTGCACAGCTCCCTCCTGGGGCAGCAGGCTCAAGGGTTTATGTGTCCTCTTCCCAGGTCCACCTCAGGTGCCGTAGGGCTCCTATGGTTTTGAGCTCAAACCAGCCATTGGCTTATTTCTGCTTTTCTCCCCATGCCTGAGGGGCTGGTCTGTGAGAGGGTATGGCTTTGGCAGTGACATTTCGCAGCTCCTTGCCCCAGCCAGGCTTATCATGGCTCTTGGATAGGGGCAGAGCAGGGATAAAATGAAGGCTACTCTAACGTCCTGGAACTGCAAAGCCAATGGGTAGGCAGTGTGCAAAGCCCTGTCCCCCAGAACCAGCTATCCCAGTGCAGACCTGGCATGACTGTGTTTGGGACAATGATAAGAGCCTCATGACACTGTACAAGTCTGCGTGATGAGACATGCATAGAGACGCTGTGTCCAGCTGTGCATATTTTATGGAGACTGTGCATGAAACTCTGTGTGTGAGTGTGAGATGGGGGTTTGGGACACCGTGTGGTGTGCTAGGAGTATATATGATTGAGTTGCCTGTGCTGTGTGCTGTGGGCCTGTGACAGGGAGTGCTGGTTAGGTATCTGTTCCAGTGGTGGTATGTGTGCTTGAAAGCCTGTGTGTGTGTGTGTGTGTGTGTGTGTACAGATGTTTGTTGGTTGGGGCAGTGTGGACAGAATACCTTGTCTACAGTGGAACTGTAGTTCTAGGTGTGTTTGCTGACTGCAACCAGGAAGTTACCTATGGGGACCCAATGTTGGTGAGGAGGGGTCCATCTAAAAAGGAGAAGGGTTGGGTTCGATGGCTCATGCCTATAATCCCAATACTTTGAGAGATGGAAGAATTGCTTGAGGCCAGGGGTTTGAGACCAGCCTGGGCAACACAGTGAGACCCTGTCTCTATGAAAAATTAAAAATTAAAAAATTAGCTGGGCATGATGGCACGTGCCTATAGTCCTAGCTTACTTGAGCAGCTAAGGCAGGAGGATTGCTGGAGGCCAGGAGTTCAGGGCTGCAGGCAGCTATCACACAACTGCACTTCAGCCTGGTCAACAGAGTGAGACCCTGTCCTGTCTCAGAATAGATAAATAAATAATTAATAAATAAAATGAAAAAGAAAAAGAAGGCACGGGGTGGAGGTGAGAGGCTCTGGGTCAGGCTGTCCCTTCCCCATGGGATCTTGATTGCCTGGCCCCTTTCCTGGCCTCCAGCTGTGGGGATCTAGCACCCTGCTTACCCACTCACCTGCAGAAATGGGCTAGGTGTGGCCTAGGCTGAGGCCCAGATGCTGAGATGGCAGGCCTAGCAGGAGGGGGTGGGGCAGCGACATGCCCGAGCAGTGGGCAGCTTGCCCTGTGCTGAGCTGGGCTGGCAGCTGGTGCTGGGAGCAGGCGGGGCCCCACTCAAGCAGGCTGGGGCAGGTTGGGCAGGGCCTGTCTCAGGCAAGGAGGGGATGGAGCTGATGGAGCAAGCCCAGGCCTTATTTGTGCCAAGATGGAAGGTTGAGGGGCAGTGGTGTGTGCTGTGGGGGGGATGTGTGTCATGCTCATGGTCTGTGCACACATATCCCCATTGTGAGTGCATTTAACTCATATGTGCATTTGATTGATTTGTGTGTGCATTTGTATTCCTCCTTCCTACGTTGTGTACATGGATCCACGGGTCTGTGTGAGTGCATGGGTGGTTGTGTGTCTGTGTGACCAGCACTGGACGTGCTTGTGTGAGAATCTTGCGTGGATATATGTTTGTGGGAAGGCTGTCCAGTGTGAGCACCCGTGGGGGGCAGAGGAAGAGGTCCAGGTTTTCTGGGTTGGGGCTTGAGTGGGTTTGGCCAGGCCCCTGAGCTGATTTGTTCCTACAACAACTTCACATGCTCTTCTCACTCCCTCATCATCCGCTTTTTCGTGGTTCTGACTGTGTGTGTGTGTGTGTGCGTCAGTAATGACCTACACACCATTGTGTGTAATGTGTGTAATGACTCCACTGATGCCTTCATGTCTGTTGGTAACAGTTCTATATATTAGGTGTGCACCACATGAAACATGCATGTGCATGTGGGCACCATTGCAATCACCCCACAGCTGGATCTGTGCACTAAGTGTGTCCAGCAGCCATTGTGGATGTGTGTGTGTCCTACAAAGTGTGCCTGGGTCGAGCTATAGCGTCCTTCCGCAGCCCCGGGATCTGGCATATCCTGTTGCATACTCCAAACCCCACATGTACTGACTCCTGGCTTCTTTCTCCTTCCCACCCCAGTGCCTCTCACAGTCCTCGGGGATCCTCCCTTGGTATGGGAAAGCCTGGGAGAAGTTGAAGGTTGGCCTCCCTGTGGAGGTAATAGAGTTTCCCCCAGGTTTGCTGTGGGGCCAGGTGGAGGCCACTCTTGGCTAAGGCACTCAGGGAGCAGCCACAGCTGTGGAAAGAGCATACACTTTAGAGCCAGAGAGCCCTGGGTTCAAATCCAGATTTGCTCACATACTGTGCCACAATGACCTTGAACCACCACCTAGGCCTCAGTTTCTCCCCCGTAAAATGGGGATTATGTTTGTTTTTGGAGTTGCTGTGAGAAGCATCGATAAGGTGAACGCGAAGCTCCTAGCATGGCACACATGGCCCACATGGCCCACAGTAGTCTCTGGACAATTGTGGGTCCTTTTCCCTTTTTGAGGGATCACTTGGTTGAAGAGGACTTTGAGATCTTGCTTTAAGATCACTTTGAGATCTTGTAGGCACTGCTGTAGGGATTGAGCCTGGCCTGCAGGGTAGCATCTGGCCTCTGACCTTCAGGGACCCTGGCACTGTGGAGGGGGCCAGAGCCAGAGCTGACGAATTCCCCAGAGCTAACCCCTGACGGGCCTGTCCTGGCCTCTGTGAGACAGAGGCACTGAGCGGCTAAGTTCTTCCCCACTTCTGGGGAAGTAGGGTGTAGAGGGGCGCAGAGATGATCTTGAGTGGTGGTGGTGAGTGACACTCCAAAGAAACCAACAGGCAGATTCCAAAAAGCCACAGTCCATCGGTCGGATCCATAAAGATCTTAAGACACAGAGACACCCCCAGAAAGACAGGCACACAACCTCTCGTTTCGGAGGGACAGAAGGCCCCACCGCCCATGGACAGACACACAGTCTCCCAGAAGAACAGATACCAGATTCCCCTCCCTAGAGCGGGGCAAATTCTCCCACAGGGACAGAAACGCATTCTCCCCCTACACTCTCCTCCGCCCCCGGGGAGGACGCGAAGGGGGCGGAAGGCAGGCCAGGCTCCCCTTGCTGAGTCAGGCTGTCCCGGCTTAGCGGGCGGGTCTGGGGTGGGAAGAGGCCGGGCGCCCGTCCAGCTCCAGAGGTGGGGTGCAGGATGAGTCACCGCGGAGCGGGCGCGGCTGGCGCCGCCCTGGGCCCCCGGCCTCCGTGGGAGCGCTCGGGCCCAGCCAATCAGCGGCCGCCACCCAGCCCTAGCGCTCTGCCCCGCCCCGCCGCGCCCCGCGGGCTACCCGGTTCCCAGGGCCCCTAGCCGCCCCGAGAGACCCCTGAAGCGGTATCCAGCCAGAGCCCATGGTCTCTGCTTCTGGAGAGAGGCTGTCGGTGACAGAGCACAGGGCTCTCAGGGGAACCGAGCGGAGACGTCTCAGTCCTTCTTCCAGAGGCCCCTCACCGCCACTCCCACCAGCGGGTTAGGGGCACGGGTGGCTCTGCGGGGGCTGGGAGGTAGCGTTGCTCTTCTTCCTTCTTGACCCTCTCTGAGCCCTTCCCAGATTGTCTCTACGGGACACTCAGCTCCTCCTCGAAGGAGACAGGCTGCCTTGTTTGCCAGGCTCAGGGGCACAGGGGCATTTCCTGCCACGGTCTTGACGGCAGAAGTTCTCTGTCCAGAGTCAGCAACACTACACGCTGTTGTCTGCTTCAGAAAATGCAGTCGGAATATGTCCAAGGGAAAATACAGTCAGAAAATATGCTCCGAGGGTCACTGTCCCTAAGACTCTGGTGATGCTAACTGCTGGCTGGCGCACCTGACTTGCACCTAGGCCACAAAACACACCCCCCCCCACACACACAGGCACAGGTTTAGACGGTGCAGACACACAGACACACAGACAGATGTGCAGATGTTACACGATTCTCGTATATAGCTCTTTATTTTCGGGCACACAGGGAGACACATTCAACAGTAGAGGGAAGTCTCCTGGTTCTGCCTTTTACTGGTGATCTGACTTTGGGTCAATTATCGGATCTCTCCAACCCTACGTCCCTATCTGTAAAATGGGGATAGCTAGAATATCTTCCTTAAAGGATTGTCCTGAGGATTAAAGGAAACAACACCTGGAAAGTACATTGAAATAATAAATGGTAGCTATGATGATCTCCCCCACAGATATATCCATACACACACAGGCATGGACACATGCAGATTTACACACACACAAAACCTTAGACATCAATAAATGTATAGGACCAGGCACATATCAACACAGGTGTATTTGCACAAAGACACAAAGACACAAACAGACCCCCACCCCCACCATCAAGGAAAACAACAACCCTGCAACAACCATGAAAGCAAGTTTTACTGCCCAGGGTGTGATGGGAGCAGGCAGCCCAGCTGGGTCGGGGTGGAGGCCTCCGCGTCGGGCGGTGCCCGCCCTGCTCAGGTTCCCACTCAGCCCCAGGGACAGGACGCCTTCATTCTTC